CAAAGAGCATTCCTCACTTTCACCACAGCCGTCAAGATCTGGCGGGATGGTGGCCTTTTAAGCAGGGACCCAGGACCCTTCTGCAGCCTTGAGCCCTGAGCTGGAGGGCTGCCCTCCAGGGCCATCAGGACCCCCACCAGCCCAGGAGAGAGCCACAGAGCATGCAGCCTTCTTCCAAAGACTGTATTTAAATATTTACTGCATGTAGAATATGCAAATAGGAGGAGTCTTGAAAGACAGCCCTGAATGGAGAGCTGTGTCCCCCCGAGATATGGAGGCACGGAGGCCCCGGGAGGGGAGGGCCAGCTGCGGTACTTGGTGGGGTTCACCAGCTTTGTCCTTCTCACACCAAGTGTGGGCAGACCCCAGAGCAAAAAAAAGACAGGGCGGGATGGCTGGTGTGGCTGCTTCTCTCCGGCGGCCAGTTCTGTGCCGTGTGTCATCTCCTCTCCCCGCTGCTCTAGGGAGATGCTCATGGCTGTGCTTGTGTGTTTTTGCCACCACCGTGTCGCGTGTGGAGGGAGGATTCTCACTGCCCTGTGTGCTGGCAGGTGAGTTGAAGACACCCACGGGCCTGGGACCCTACAAGTATGGGTCCTGCCCGTGTCCTGCCCATGTCCTGCCCGTGTCACCTGCTCAGGACAGTTGTCACCATTCTGCACTCCCGTTGTGGCTTCTGGAAGACCCCGGTGTGTCCAAGCTGGAACTCTTCACAGGGTCCCGTTTGCCCCAGTTCCCGAATGCTACCGGCTGACTAACAAAGATAGTCATGCAACATTGTGCCGGCTTCTGTATCATGGAAGTCATCATCCGGTGACCGAGTGAGAAAAACGTATCCCGGAAACGTCCAGAACGGGTGTGACGCATGGGGGACTGCAGGAGCCGTGGCTCACTTCCCGGGGTGGAGGGCTAGATGCAGTCCCACCTGCTAGAGGGCAGCCAGGGGAGGCCAATGCAAGTCCCACACCTAGAGCAAAATGAAGGGCGCAAATTCATCACGGAGGAATGAGCAGACAGAAGCCAATACCAGAGCGCTGTTCCCGATCGTCCAGCAAGGACCCTGCAGTTGAAAGTAAGAGAAGATGTTTATGCAGCCTGAGGCACAGAAAGCGATCGCAGTCGTTGCACATTCTGTAACTGAACATCAGCAGAAGCACTTGCTGCTTTTTGCTGCAGAAGGAGCCGGGCAGGGACACTGGACTGGCAGCCCCCGTCTCCCTCCCACCATACAGATATGTTTCCTGGAAAATCAGATGTGTGTGCGGAGGAGAGGTGCATGGCACGCTGGTGGGCAAAGGGGGGTGGCACCTGCAGCTGGGAGTCTGGAACCCCAGCTACAGGCTGCCAGACGTGGGAGGCTTTCTCGGTGTCTGCTCTCGAGATCTGGCTTCTGCAGACGGGGGAGCTCGCACAGATGAGACGGAGCTGCTCTGTAGGAATTTGCACTCGCACCTGATGTCCTGCACCACGGACAACATGTGACCACAGGTGGCTCCTCATCGACGCTGGGATGCTGGCGCCTGGTCTCTGCTCACTAGTCTGTAAGGGCTCAGGACCTGAGGACCGCCTTTCCCTTCCCTTCACGGTGTTCAGAAAAGGACATCATCACCGAGCAGCCGTGAGGAGGGAGGGGGCTGGACAAAGAAGCACAGATCTTCCTCAACGAACGAAGGCTTTTGTTCTGATAAACCCATCTTTAGTTGGAAATATCGTAAATCAAAAATGCACTGAACACAGCAGCCTCCCCAACACTGAGCTTAGCCCGGCCTATGATACACGCGCTCAAAACCCTTCATGAGCCTACATCGGGCAAAAGCCTTGGCTACAAAGCTGATTGTATAATAAAGCACCGACTGTTTCTGTAAGTGACTGGATGCTGTACTGAGGGTGAGAAACAGAGAGCTGCGTGGGCGCAGGAGGGTGGTTGGGGCATCGGCTGTCCACCCTTGGGACCGTGCACCTGCCGGGTAGTGAGCTGCCCCCCAGCATCCTGAGAGAGGACGTGTCGCATGTCACCAGCCCAGGAAGAGATGCCATTCAGAATTCCAAGTACAGTCCCTACTGCACGTGTATCCCCTTGTGCTGAGTACTTGTACTTGTACACAGTACTTGTACTATGAACTCAAAAAGTGCTAAGTGGAACCATGTTAAGGCGGGGACGTCTGTATAGGAAGAGGCAGGACATGCCCCCAGATGGAAATGAGAGACACGGTAGTGATCCTGGTTTTCCAGGGGCAACAGTGGGGCCGTCGGATAACACGAGAGTTTGGACATCGTCCTACAGGCATCTTATATCCGGGTGAAAAATATGGGCTCTGTGTTTCTTTCTGTTTCTCTGCGGGAGTTCTCTGGAAGGACTGGAGGGGTTCGGGGATACCGGGAAGAGGCAAGCTGAGAGGCAGGGCATGTCCCCCTTGTCCGGGGCAGGGGTGTGGTGTGCAGGATGGGGTCTGGCACTAGGGCATGGAGGTGGTGGGAAGTGGCAGAGCCTGATCTCTTCTTGGATGTGTAGGGAGGGGGACGAAAGGGAGGGAAGCTGATGTAGGTTTGAGTCTGGTGACTCAGAAGATGACGGGGACTTGAATGGTCCTGCTATGCTGGGGGTGGGGAGCGTAGGAGCAGGCTAAGCCCAGGTTCTGTTTGGGATTTGACGCTCCTGTCAGGTGCATAAGAAACACCCGGGACCGTCAGGGAGGCCCGAGGAGGCCCAGGGAGCTCTTGAAACTGCAGGGTACAGAGAGTTTGGGACTCGTACAGGAGAAGGAAAATCCAGCTCCAGAGGGAATTCTGCTTCACCCCAGGTGCGTGACCCCAGCTCAGTCCTGGCACTGTCTGAAGGAAATGCAGATCCCACGGGGCCGCACCCTCCCTTCTAAGCTAGCGACACCCCCGGGAGGCCACCCCCAATTCTGACCAGCTGGGTCTAGTTTGAGGGGTTCCGTGACCCCGCCTGGCTCCATGGTGCACCAGCATGCATCACGGGACCAGAAAGCCCTGTGCTTACAGTTAGTGGGGCTGCCAGCTACCCGGTCTGGGGGAGACCCAGACTCCCATGTCCTCTTCCCGGGAAGCCCCAGAGCTTCGTCGGCCTGACGCTCCAACCCTCAAGTCAGGTGATTTCCTTTGTTTCTTGAACTTGGCTCCACGGACCAACTTTACCTTCTGGGACATCACAGACTGAGTCTGTGTCCTGGGCTCCATCACCTTCCTTCAGCTGTCAGAAGGCATCTGCACACTGCCTCTTGCCCCGTGTGTGTGTGTGTGTGTGTGTGTGTGACACACACACACACACACAGGTTAAACAATTCCAAGATGCGTCCACTTTCCTAAAAGAATCCAGTTCCCGAGCCCTCGTCAGCTCCCGACACGTCCTGGACATTTTCTCATCTGGAAAGTTCTCATTGCCCTGATCAGCCAGGAGCCACGCACAGCACTGCATGTGCACTTCTGCTGTTTCCAGATCCCAGCGGGATACTTGCCGTGTTCGCGCAGGATCCCGCGGTTCTGCAAGCACCGTCGACAGTCTGTGAGCTTCTGCACAACCCCCAGCAGAGCTGGAGGCCGCAGGTCACGTGCTGGGTTGCCCGGGAGGCTGCCCACGACTCTTCTGCCCAGGAAGAGTGGGAGCTGGTGTGTGCTGGAGGGAGGGGGGTGGAGGTCAAGCTCAAGGGAAGAAAGACGGATGGGAGAAAAACAGGTGGGGGTTACCAGTCCAGACAGGCAGAGGGTCAAGACTGTGCAACTCGGCTCAGGACAAATGTGTAAATCACGCCCAGGGTCTAGGGAGGCACCTGACCAGCTTTCCGCACACACGGCAGGAGCCCGCAGCAGAACGTCAGGACAATATTAATTTAAAGCCAAAGAAATTGTTCTGGAAAACTGGACAGTGGAGTTGCTGAACCAATGGCTTCCCCTTTCCTTTCCGCTGGGAGGGAACTTGCATCATTGAGTGGCGGAGCCCATGATGGAAGGGGAGAGACTGGCAGAGCGGGAGAGGGGAGCAGCTGGTACAAGGCTGGGAGACTAGGCTCTCGGGGGCAGGATGGTGGGGGTTTGGAGGACTCTGCTCTGTTCTGGGTCCATGTCTCTTCCTTTATTTATGTTCGCTCGTGCCCCGCGGCGCTTCTGTAAAGATTTAATATGACTTCGTAAGAGAAAGCAAACCACAGGCGGAAGGCTGCACTAAGTGAGTGTAAGCGGAAGGAGAACGCAAGAGTGGCCCATGGCATGGGGCTAGGATGTGCTCCCGTGCGGCCACACACTTAGCTCTGCAATGGCCCATCTGAGAAGGCAGCGCCGGCCGGTCTGATGTCTGACGATAACCTGAAACAAGCTGTCGTTTGCCCGGGGTTATGGAGTCTGTGGTGCAGCGTAGACCAGCCTTGGCTGGGTGGGGGGGGGCCACGGGGGGCACAGCATGCCGTGTGAGGTCATGCACCGCCTTTGTGACAAAACTGTTATAATCGATAAGTTGGTGTCGATTTCTCCATCCTGGCTGATGTCCTACGTGGAGGCACAACCCCCGAGAGGCAAGCAGAGCAAACGCAGACAGGCAGCCCCGCACACCAGGCCGGACCATCGAGATGGTTCACTCTCCTATCGGCCTAGACTTGGCTTTCGTGAGAGGGGGTGTTTGCGTTTTGCCCCGCGTTCCATCCAATGATCCCCTCGCATACTGTTGTGTCGTCTTGCTGAGTCTGTGTCTCCCTGAAAAACATGACTAATGATGGACTTATGCCCAGGGATGCTTCTGCGGATCAGATCATAAAAGGTCAGACCAGCACCTTCTCCTCCAGGCACGTGTGAGACATGATGGCTGTTCCTGTCACAAGCCTGCCAGGTGCCCGCACAAGCCGGCGGAGAAGAACGGTGGCGTGTGCCCTTCTCGGTGCCTGCGGGCCTGGACAGAGCAGCCCAGAGCCACTGCGCGGGCACAGCGCATCCACCTGCCATGCCGGGAGAGGGCTCAGGGGCTCACCTCCCGCATTTGTCTTCCGCAGGAATAACGCTGTACAGCCAGCCGTACGGAGGGGCCTTGCTGAACGAGGACAAGATGTGAGTTGCAGGACCTCTGGGTGAGGGCGGCCCTGTTGATGGGACAGAGCCTTTGGGTTGTTTAGGGGGGATTGGGATCGCCTCCTGCCTTTGCCGTGAGTGATGCTGGTTTGGGCGTTTCTTTGCCAAGCGTGAAGACCGGACGGTTGCAGAACGCGCCTTGACTGAGCCCGTCAAGCGCTCCACTGTGTTTCTAAGTAAACTTGTTCTACGGGCATGATCTCCCTGGAGCTCAGGGACCCCGTGTCTTCCAGATATTTTCTGGGGACACAGTCTTCTTTGAAGATTTTATTTATTAAGAGAGTAAGAGAGAGAGAGAGAGAGAAAGAGCGTAAACAGATGGGGGGAGGGGTAGAGGGAGAGAGCATCTCTAGCTGACTTCATGCTGAGCTTAGAGCTCAATATGCGGCTCGATTCCAGGACCCCAATGTCCTGACCTGAGCTGAAGGCAGATGCTTAACTGACTGAGCCACCTAGGTGTCCCTAGAGAATTTTTAAAAGTAATCTCTGTACTCCATGTGGGGCTTGAACTCACAACCCTAGGATCAAAAGTCACTCACCCCACTGACAGCCTACAGAAGGTAGGGCACTTCTCCCTGTCTCCTCCTTTTCCTACCTCCCTTTCCTGTTGCACTGATGACAAAGCATTGGTCAGACATCTATAGTAGGCAGAATTAGTGCAGTGCACCCTTGAACAACTGGGTTGGGGTGCTGACCCTCTGCACAGTAGAAAATCTATGTATAACTTGACCCCCACCCCCCCAGGACCTACCAAACTGAGCTGGAGATGCAGATCTGCTTGACAGGTGTCTTCTCTCTGAGGTGTTAGGAAGGCAGGAAGCACGAGGTGGTGTCACCTCCCCTCCCTGCACTCATTCTCAGCTTTCCCCTTTAGTGGTCTCTGACACCGGCCACAACTCTGGCCGTGGGCTCACTGACGAAAAGAGGGTGCCAGGCAGTGGATGGTTGGTGACGAGCCCCTTCTCTCCGGGGCCAGCTGAGACGTTGTGGGTGTGCTGGGCACTGCTAAGGAGGGGTAATGGGGTAGTGTTCTGATGAAGATGTGACCAGGAAGGTGCACAGTGTATGTCATTACAATTATGGGTGCACTTCCCTCCGGTACGAAATCATTCCGATATTTGGAGAGAGGAAATTCAGAGATGGGCCAGCCACCTGCAGAGCTGCAGCTAATGCCCCTTCCAAGTCCTGACAGGTGTCCGGACGTGGGTGGGGCCTGGATGTGGGCAGGGGTCCCATGTCATGGGGGTCCCCACAAGGGTGGGGGTTCGGACGTGGGTGGAGGCCACAGCTCACTATGGACCCCACGCTGAAGATATCTTTCATTTTAACTGGGGAGTCGGGCTTAGCGGTCAAGAGTAAACCTTGGAGAAGTTTCTAGAAGCTGGCAGAGCTAATCCATGCCCGAAAAGTCGCTGACCGCATTTAGGACCGACTCCATGAGCTTGTCAGTGTGTCCTGCCCATCATCAGCTCCCCATGAAGGGTTTCCTCCGCTCTTCTCCTCGTCGCCGGTTGTTCCCGAGGGAAAGAGGACCTGTGTCCTTCGTGTGCCACCTGACGCGCTGTTCTGTCTTGCCCGCAGCCTGGAGAGCATCCGCCAATGTGGCGTGGCACTCTGCATCGTGCTGGGGTTCTCCATTCTGTCTGCGTCCATCGGGAGCTCCGTGGTGAGGGACAGGGTGATCGGAGCCAAGAGGCTGCAGCACCTCAGCGGCCTGGGCTACAGGACGTACTGGCTCACCAACTTCCTGTATGACATGGTAGGACTGGGCGGCGACGTCCCTGGGGCCTGCGTGCCGCCGATCTGTGTGTGTGAGCGTGTGTGTGTGCGTGTAGGAAGCGGCCGCCTCCCGCTGTCCACAGGAGAAGGTATCACTTCACTGCTAAGAGCTGGTCTGGCTGAGTCTCCGTCTATCATTAAGGTTGGCTTTGTAAGACAAAGGACCGACCAGCTGTGTCCTGGAGCTCGGGGAGCTCAGGGACCTGCCCAGACATGCAGAGTTTCTCGTCAGGAGGGTGACGCGGTAATCACATTAACTACACTCTGTTCAAGGGGGTGGGACGGGAGAGGGTGAAGGCCCTCTGAGCTGACCTGCCGGCCCCCTCCAGGGTGACCACAGCCTGGCCCGTTTTGGTGTCCTGTGCCGCCACACCTTCTGTGTTATGGCGTGCAGGGACCCCAGCTTGCCCTGGGGAGGGAAAGAGGGGGCTTCAAGATAGTAAGAGGTGGGGGCCGGTTTCCAGGACCCCCAGGTAGGGGGGACCCAAAGTCTCCCAGGTCCCAGCCCGTCTCCCTCTTTTCAGCAGTCCAGACTTTATGATCCTTTCATCCCTGTGATTCCTGCCTGAGGTTGTAAGGGCGGGGGAGGATTATCTCTTTCCCGGTTTACCGTGTTTTCATCTTCATCTGATCATTTCTGAATGACCGCTCATTTAAGGGATATATTTGAGGGTCTGCTCCGGGCAAGGTGTGTCTGCGGTGCAAGGACTAAAACAGGGAGCAAGGCAGAGACGTTCTCTGCCCCTGGAACTTTTATTCTCACAAGAGGAAGCAGGACTTAAACCAGGGGTTCAGGAAAGGTCTCCCATGGGGTCTACATGAGGAGGGGCTCCGAGAGAGGCCCCGGGAGGAGAGTGGTGGGCGTGTGGGAGCCCTGGGAGGGCACCCAGGGAGGGTCAGAAGGCAGGTGAGCCGCCTGTCCTTGAGTACAGGTGTGCCCAGAGACCTCGACTCCTGGAAGATGGGAAGGTGGGGAATGGTGGTCAGAGTGGTTTCCCAGTGCGGCCCTCAGGACACATGGCAGATGGGCAGCTTGAACTGCTGATGTCTGTCCCTCCCAGTGCCGGGGGCTGGATGTCCCACATCCAGGTGTGGCAGAACCACTTCCTCCCCAGGCCTCTGCCCTGGGCGTGTGGCTGGCATGTCTTCCCCGTGTCCTCATGTGTGTCTGTGTCCTGCTGTCCTCGTCTCACAAGGACACCGGTCCTGTTGAATCAGGGCTGCTCTGGGGACCTCGTTTACCCTCCCTGACCCCTTCAGGGGTGCATCTTCAGACCCAGTTCCATTCTGAGGTCTGGGTGTTCAGCGGATGCGTGGGGGAGAGGGGACACAGCCCAGCCAGAGCTGGGCCTCTATTGCTGCCCGTGTATCATCTGCAAACTAGCCGAAGTGGACGTGGGATGCCATCCCCTGTTCCTTGTCCCCCAGGTCTTCTACTTGGTTTCTGTGAGCCTGTGTGTCACCATCATCGTCGCCTTCCAGTTAACAGCGTTTACTTTCCGCGAGAACTTGGCAGCCACGGCCCTCCTGCTGGTGCTTTTCGGGTATGTGATGAGAAACACGGCTGCAGAATTACGGTTTGTTTTCTGGAAGAGAACCCCCCCCCGGGATGGCTTTGAACCTGCCGCCAGCTGCGTGATTTTCTCTCTCTGCAAGCAATTCTGTTGCTTGTGCGGGAGCCGTGCTGCGGACCTGCGGGAGCAGGTGGAGAGGGCCCCGCCGAGGAGGGCGGGGTGCTGGGGTGGGGACGGAGGTGATACAGGCTGGTGCCTGAGGAATCACCCCCCCCACCCCGCCCCACCCCAGGCACGGGTGTGGACAAGCGGGTTCTCGGCTGTCCTCAGGCCGGCTTCATCTGGAGCTCAAACACGCAATCCGGTTAGCTCCAAAATTGCCTTTCAGAAGAGAGTCCTGCATCTGGCGTGTCTCTGCTCTCCTGTGACTGTGGTGGTCCAGAAGGCTGCCGCATCGTTGCTGCTGTCGCTTTTCTCCGGGGTAAAAACAGCAAAGGCAGAGAAGTTGCTGTGCACACTTCTCATTTTCAAACACACTGAGCAGGCTCATTGCCGGTGGTCCCCAAATTGGTATCAAAAATTGTCTCTATCTAGGTATCAAAATATGGTATCAAAACTTGGTATCAAAAATATGTCTCTAGGCTGAGCGTGTTAGAGAGACTTGCCATGAGGAGAGAAGATAATGAACGTACTTATTTATTAAAATGCGAGGTGGATAATTTTTGAAAACCCGCATTCTGCTTTATTGAGGCCAAAGGTGACAAGTAAAATGATTTTTACGCAGCTCCCAGTGATGTCAGTGACCCCAAACATTTAACTAGGGAACAGGGTTTAATATGAAGGAGCATGTGCTATTATTAGATGGATGGATGGATGGATGGATGGAGGGGGGAGAGACAGACAGACAGGACAGACAGATCTTTGTGGGAACCGTGCTATGGCCACTCACGAGCTCTGTGGCCTTGGGAAGAGTCATGACCCCCTGCAGACCCCACCGTGTTCTGTGTGGAGTTTCAGTTCTCTTCAGTTCGGTAGTTCGTACAAACCTCACAGTGAGTGCTGACAGGTCCCGTTTAATTGCTCTCGGCCACATTGGTGCTACGAGAGCGGAGCTGCTGTGCAGAGGATATCACGTCTGAAGCTACGAATGCTTGTGTTTGCACCAGTCTATTGTGCTCAGTTGGAAATTTAGGTTCCCGGGTATAAAGGGCCGCGTGCGTGAGTTCCTGCTTCTCAGGAAACGGTCTGGTTTCTGTGCGTGGATCCAGCTGAGCGGACGGCGTCGTGGCTGCTGATGGTGCCGTTGAACAGACTCGCTGTACCCCATCCGTGAACTTAGGAAAGCACAGCTCGTCGAGTTGACGGAAGAGAGCAGACAAAATCTAACGGACAGCGACGTGTTTTGAGGAGGGGTCCTGAAGCTTGTTTGGCTTGTGAGCACCTTTGGGAGTCTGGGTGGAGCCCAGACTTCTGGCCACGTGTGTGGCCATGGCATTTTCCGAAGAAATCGGGAGATTCACAGATCCCTTGACTGACAGCCTGGGCCAGCCCGAGGTTGTATCTCCAGGCAAGAATCCTTTCATCAGATGGACTGAGGGGTCTGAAAACAGCTGATGGTGCCGCAGTGTCTCAGTGAAGAAGGGCCCTGGCATGGCTGGCTGGAGTCACAGAGCCACACCCCAGGGACCACGTGTTGTTCCCATTTACACGGCAGTTCTCCCCTCACTGGGCCCTGCCTCACACCTGACACTGCATGGGCATTGCTGTCCCCTGCGCCCAGGGAGGCAGGTACATCTGCTGACCCCTCCGTCCCCAAGGAGGGAGGTGCAGGGACCCTGAGGACAGTCTCAGGAAGGCAGCCCCCAGAGTGCCCTGCAACCTGAAGACGTTACAGGCATGAAAAGGGACTTGTAATTAAATGGGATTTGGAATCCAAAGAAATTAGGGTTTGGACTAAGGCGTAGAGTCTGAAAGAGACAATAAGGAAAAAAAGGCCCAGTGACAATTGTCTTTTTCTTCTTCTTAATATTCCTGCTCTCTCTAGCCAAGAAAACTTGATATTTTAGCTAGAAAGTGAGGAGAATTAGCATCAAAAAGAGGAAAGGAATGTCAGAAAGAAAAGAGAAGCTAGCTTCTATAAAACATTGAAACTTTCGGAATATATTAGGTGATTATTTGGTGCTTAAGGCTTGTGAACATGAGGCTGCAGGGTCCTGATCCCGGTCCTAGAAAATTCACTCGCTGGGGGAGGGGCCAGCTTTCAAAAGGAGGAAAACCACACAAATTCTGGAAGGACTGTGAACAGCATGCCACTAGCCAGTAAGTAAGTAAATATTACATTGCATTTTAATGAAAGTAGAGAGTGTTAGAAACCACTGTAGATATCACTAAAAGATAAATTATGCCCTAGGAGCACATTTTTTTTCTTTTTTAAAAATTTTATGTATTTGAGAAAGAGAGAGAGAGAGGGAGAGAGCATGAGCCGGGGGAGGGTCAAAGAAAGAAGCAGGTTCCCTGCTGAGCGTGGAGCCCGATGTGGGACTCGATCCCAGGACTCTGAGATGAGGACCTGAGCTGAAACCAAAAGTCAGATGCTGACTGGACTAAGCCACCCAAGTGCACCCCACCCCCTGCCCCTGCCCCATTTAGCTTGTTACTTAAAAAAAAAGGAAAAAAAAAAAAAGAAAGATAGGGATCATGGACCTGTCAATATGTTGATTTGAACCAAGTATTTGAAAGGTGATTAATGAATATATAGGAAAAAAAAAAAAAGACGGCTACACAGCTGGCAGAGAACCACGCACCTGATGCGGCAGGTGTGGCTGGTGGCAGGTGTGGTCAGTCTGTGGCCCTGATGCTGATGCCTCCTTTGCTTAAAGACGTGATACTCCGATCCACTGGTCCAGAATCTCAGTGACAGGACCTGGCGTGGGAGCTCTCCCTACTGAGTAACAAAACACCGACCGTGAACAGAGTGCAGCGGGGCTGGACGAGTCTTCTTTGGTGGGTCCGTCTTGTTCCAACGGGGGACGGGGCTTCCAAGTGGGACAGGGAGCTGCCCCGTTCCTGGACGGCCCTCCTGACTGTGAGTCAACATCCCGCTGTGCTTGGTGCCTGCCTCACCGCATCACACGCCTGGTCGGGTGTCCCTACCCCCAAACGCCTGAGCCCCCCATCGTGAGGTTTAAACAAGAGACTTGTTTGGACACTGTTTCCTGTACGGAAGCAAGGGACACCTGGTCTTCTGTGCTGGAGACCTAAGAGGACCGCGGTGTTTACCGTCAGCTACCTCAAGAGCTGTCCGATGGAAAGAAAAGTGACTGGTCACAGACTGCTCCAGAAGACGGAGTTTGGATCGGTGGTGTTAAGAGATTTTGGGGTCACTCTGAGAGGGCGTTTCATGGCAGGGATAGCTGCCCCAAGACCTGGTCGCAGACTGCTGGCGTTTACAGTTCTGTTCCAAGGACCACTTGGAATGCTTCAGCTGGTTGTCCCGGCAGGTGCGTGAGGGAGGACGCACTTGACTTCTGCCCCAGAAGGGACAGTAAGGGCGTGGGGTCCGATTTCTCTCTGCAGGGCTTTTCTTCAGGTGGGGCTGGACCCTTCAAAGCACGAAGGAGTCCTGACCTACTTCTTGGGTAATTAATTTATTTAAAGACAATTGGATTATTGGGTACAGTGGGTATTTAAGAATAATTGCTTCCAAGCCCCCCTCCACCTGTCCGCTCTAAAATAATTCCCATCGTGCCCACGTTACCAGACAGATTACTGTTGAGGCGAGTTTCCAAAACAGTGTACGATTTTATGTGTGATAGTTCTACGCACGGTGTTTTCTGAACTCTCAGGATGAATCCTTCGACCCAAGGACTCATTCTGATGCCACGGGTTCAGATAGAAGAAGGAACAACAGGAAGACAACAGCCCACCTTGAGGGCCAGGCCTGTCTCCCTCCGCTTGGAGTCCCGTACGTTGCGGAACCAGCGAACACAGAAGGGAACCCGGGCTTTCAGGAGGCGCTGAGGGCTTTCTGGTGCAGCTGCCAAGTCACGCTAGGAACGCAGTGGCACGTCTGCCTCCAGGCTGCACATGGGGACGTGGGACGAAGGCTGCGGTTTACAGTGACTGACTTGTCCCCTGATGTTTGGAGCCATGACTCTTGGACCCGCACCCTTGAATGGGGCTCTTGCTTCTGTGACAGACACCGTGGGAGGTGAGCCCGGGATGCAGCTCAGCTCCAGGGTATGGAGGAAGAGAGATGTGCCGGTGTGTTTCTTAGAACCCAGAGCCATTGGACATGGGTATGGACTGCCTTGAAGGTCAGGCCCTTTGCTCCCCAGCTTTGCAGCCACACGCAAATGAATCCCGTGGTCAGCTTCGCCTGCCATCAGTGGCAGAGCCTCCATCTGGGTCTCCTGACTTTGTGAACCCTTCCCCATCTGTATCATGGGACCACACACCTGCCTCCCAGGCTGCCGGAGAGGGAGGAAGATGCGGGCTCATCGTGGAGGCCCACAGCACGGTGCCCAACACGGAGAGGACATTGAGAAGGAAGCTTTCCAGTTTTACCTCTAAGCCTTCTTCTTTCTTTTTAAAAAAAATTTATTAATTTGAGAGAGAGACAGAGAGAGAGAGAGAGAAAGCATGGAGGAAGGGCAGAAGGACAGAAGGAATCTCAAGCAGACTCCCCGCTGAGAGCAGAGCCTGACCTAGGGCTCCATCCCATGACCCTGAGGTCATGACCTGAGCCTGAGTCAAGAGTTGGACGCTTAACCGACTGAGCCACCCAGGAGCCCTTCATGCCTTCTTTTTCTACAGAGTCTGCTGATTTCCCTTCTTGACAACTTTTGATTCTCCCTTCCACACCTAGGAGCTCTGTGCAAAGAAGCAAAGAAGCCAGAGCCAGGCTTGCCCCTTGGGGGAGGGGTGGTGGGGACGTCCACGACTTCCTCCAGCTCACGGAGCTCCAGGTGCAGGTGCCCATGTGGCCCGGTGGTTGACTCCCCCCAGGGCTGCTGTTGTGGTCCCCAGGGCTCCGTGGAGCTCCCCAAATGTGCTCTGTGTTCAGGAAACACCGTGGGATTTGTTGTAAAAGTGGGATTCTGTTCCCTGTGGGAGGGAAGAGGACCCAGCCAGTGAGACTCATCTGTGCTTCCGTCCTGGTCCCACGACACGTGACAGGAAACAAATGTGACTCTTCCCTTTACTCCGTAGATACGCAACTCTCCCGTGGATGTATCTGATGTCCCGGATCTTCCCCAGTTCGGACGTGGCTTTCATCTCCTACGTGTCCCTGAACTTCATCTTCGGGCTCTGCACCATGCTGATGACCACCACGCCCCGGCTGCTGGCCATCGTCTCCAAGGCTCAGGTCTGTGCGCTCCAGCCACGCCTCTCAGGGCAGCGGGGAATGCTGCCTCGTGCCCCTTCTGCTGCTCCTCCGGCTGGAGGTAAAGGGAAATGGGCCGCTGTCCGCGGTCTCTAGCCCCCAGATAGAGAAGCCGCCCCTGAGGCACGCAAACACTGGCACCGTTGTGAGAGCTGAGCTCAGACCTCCCTGTTTGTTAATGGGCTCCTGATCCTCGGTCGGAAGGATGGATGGGTGTCCAGGTGTCACAGGAGTAAGGGTCCGATCCCTCTGCCTGGGATCCCGTGCTGCGGGGTGGGATTGGTGCTGGGGCCGAGCACGCTCTCCGACCCCTGGAGCATACGGAGTTCTGCTACGTTCAGAGTGTTGTAGCAGAGGGCTGCCCCGAGCAGGGGCTCCATCTCCCCCGGGGAGGGTGAGGGAACCCCTCTCCAGGAACCCTGTCTCGAACAGGTGTTCACACTGGCGAGTCACTTTGGGGAGGCGACCCCTAGCAGGCATCTTGGTCAAGCTGGATCCAGCTGTGTCCCCACCATGCTCCTCCCGCCTCCTTCCTCCCCCTGAAGCCCACCTGGGTCTTGTCTGTTTTAACCCCTCCTCAGCCTCCCCTGCGCTACCTCTGGGGACAGATGTTGGAGTTTTGCGTTGCCCTCTGTCCTCTGTTTTCTGTCCTTTTCATCCCTGCTCTCTGCTCTCAGCTCAGACCACTGTCCCTTCTGACTCCCTGCTGTCCGCCTGGACCCCAGTCCCTCTGTCGTCCCGGTGTTTGATTGACTCACGGGTGAGAAGGTGGCCTGAGAAAGGGCCAGCCCTCCCAGTTCCGGAGGCTGTGCTCCTGGCCCGTCACAGGTGAGTCGGGGATGGATGGATGCCTGCTCATGGGGCAGGCTCTCCTGCTCTGCCCTGGGCTTGTGCAGACCGTCCACTCTCCAGCGTGGCTCATACTGTTTTGGGGGGTCGTGTCCCACACTGGCATGGAGACACTAAGTACAGAAACATTCATTATGCATTCAGGGAAGGAAGCAATGTGTTTTGGTGATTTTTGCAGACCTAGTGTTGTCACGAGTCTGTATTAATGTTTCTGGCTGATACAGTTACGGGGCGTTAGCTTGAGGAGGACACAGAGGTAGCCGAGACAGCGCACGTGTTCCCTCCCAGCCCACGGATCCCCAAGAGGGCGTGGGTCACGCAGGGTGTCCCTGTGACCTAAGCTGAGAAGGGGGGCAGACTCAGGGCGGATGGACACTCCCTCCAGTGGGAAAGATGAAGCTCGAGGAGACAGGATCACAGGACAAAAGCAAAAGGAGGGATCACCGGGACCCAGAGAGGAGACCAGCCCGGAGGCCCCGTGCCCGTGACAGTCCAGCTCTGACGTCAGCGTCCAGTCACAAAATGGGTCAGGCTCAGTTGTTCACATATAAAAGAGACACTTTATCATTTGCTAAGGTCTCTCTTTTCCTTTGCCCTTTATTTTGGGGTTGTTTGCTGCAGAAACCCAGCGTCACATTGGGTAATTTCAGATCTTTACGCGTAAGCTGTGGAGCGATAAATATATTCTTATGGAATCAGTCAAGGGTGACTAGGTTCTCAGATCAGCTCTGTGAGCCGGGAGACCAGGATTAACCGTTGTTCGTCCAAACTGTGCTGTTGATCAGGGCAATTTAATTTTTAATTTTTACCAAATCACAATTTTTTAAGCTAACGTCTATAGAAAATGCATTTTGGGTTCTAACCCGCCATGTGGAACACCTTCGTTTCCCAGCGGTGAGGATCTCCCGGTTGGCGGGGGTGGGGTGGGGGGGTGGGTGGGTGGAGGGATGTCCGGAGGGCAGTAGCTCATAGTTCCAGTAATTTCTTTTTTTGAATACTTCATCAGTTCGCAGTTATCCTAGATTGGACATTTATGGATTGTTATTCCCTGAATTTGTGCAGTCACGTCCTGTCGTATGTTACCTTTGTGTTCAGGTGTCGTGGATGGCTGTGTTCTCTTTGCTGTGGGGACAGCTGTGGTTCCCTTAAGGCAGATTTAAAGTCCTCGTCATGATTATGTCTGTTCCTTAGGTCCCAGCTCCAGGGTCGGAAGCTGTCCTGCTCTACTGTTGCTACATTATAACCAGGGAGACAAGCTGCTGTCACGTGGCACATTGTTTGACTCAGGGATGGACACAGTTTTGTAAAAACTGGGATTGATAAGCCCCTCTAAGACTGGTCGCAATCCTTAAAGATGGTAGACAGTCAGGAGAAGAGCCAAGGGAAGAATCAGAGGAAGTCTATGTGTTTTCTCTGTGTCTGTACGCCAAAGACAACCGGCCATAATGGAACAATTCATACCCCTTTGTTGAATCTTTGTCGCTCCCAAATCACGTTATTTAAGACTGTATTTACATAAGTCAAGCTGTCCCTTTGCATCCTAAGGGAAAACTGGAAGTTGTCTAGGATGAAATATGTAATTGATGATTTTGTAAGTTTTTCCTTAGTATTTGTGATACGGCCCATCCCGTGTCGTGTTTTATAATGTATTCCTCATGATGCCTTTGCTCCCTTATAAATTCATCCCCAGATGAATTTGTGAGTTTGAACAGAGAGAGAATGGCTGTAAAACAGCAAGCCTCATTATTTTTTTAAAGATTTTATTTATTTGACAGAGAGAGAGTGAGAGAGAGAGAGCACCAGCAGGGGGAAAGGTAGAGGAAGAGGGACAAGCAGGCTCCCCGCCGAGCAGGGAGCCCGATGCGGGGCTCCATCCCAGGACCCTGGGATCATGACCTGAGCCGAAGGCAGACACTTAACTGACTGAGCCCCCGGGCACCCTGAGCCTAATTCTCGATGATTATTTCTATAGCCTTGCCAAGCAGCTGCGGTTCCACGCTTAGCTACACCCTGTCTAAAAGTCAGCTCAAAGGACCCCTTTGCCATGAATTTTCTCCACAGGCCATGTTCCTGGGTGGAGGGATTTTATTCCTTGGGCCAGAAAGATTGGGGTTGTGTCCTGGTCCTACCACGAAGTGACCTGAACACATTCATCAGCTGCTTGAGGCTGTTTCTTGCGTGGTCGCTGGGTTCACCTCTCAACACTCCGCTCGTTTATTGAGGGAGTAAAATGCAGTGACGTCCCATCAAGGTGCAAACACATGATACTTTCCAGAAAGTTCTGGCAGACGATGATTAACACGGGAACAATTCTCATCTCCTTATAAAATAAAGCAAACGTTCCTAAAACACCAGATGGTTAAAAAAAAATAAATTCTTTGGTAGATGTTGAGTTTTTACATACATTTTTATATACATATATACATTAAATTAAAAATGATATTGCCCAAACATATGCAGGCGGTCCTGTATATGTTTATTTTCTGTGCATGCTCTCTCTTTCCATCTGCTCCCTTATTCTTCCTTGTCCTTGTCATAACACTTGATTGTAACGTGTTTCACAGAGACAGCTACATACATTCAAATGCGCTAGTTTCGTACTAGGCGCCTTCCATGGTATTTACATGCTCTCAGGGACAGCTCCCAGTACTGTCCGCTTGTTCGAACACTCCTTGGCCCGTGACCCAGGATGTTCCCCGTATGTCTTACCTGGGCTGTTGGAACACCTGCCACAGGCTGGGGGGCCTGACAAGCCGATGCTGTGCCTCAGCCTGAGGCTGGGCATCGGAGATCTCAAGGTGCCTGTAGAATCAACTCCTCGGTAGGACCTGCTTCCTGGCTTGGAGGTGACTTCCAAGTCATCTCCAAGCAGCAGAGAGGGCAAGCTCTCGTGTCTCTAATTCTTCCCAGGAGGGCACTGATCGCATCGTGAGGGCTCTGTTTTCCTGACCCCAATCATCTCCCTAAGGTCCCACCTCCGAATGCCATCGCATTGGGGGTCAGGGCTGCACCTGTGAATTTGGGAGCCATAAACATTCAGTCCATAACATTTCACTACGCACTACCCCCCAATGCGTGTCCTTCTTGCAGGAAAATACATGCAGTCCACCCCAACAGCCCCTAAAGTCTTGCCTTATCCTAGCTTCAACTTGAAAGTCTTTACCAAGGTCTCACCTGAATCAGGCGCGGGAGAGGCTTTGGGTAGGATGCGTCATGAGACAGAATTCCCCTCCACGTGTGAGCCTGGGAAGTGTATTAGTTATGTGTTTCCAAAGCACAGCACAGCTGTGGGACAGGCTCGGGATAGGCATGCCCGGCCAATAGCGGAACTCGGAAAGAAGAAGCAGATGAGGGCTCCCAAGCACGTCCACCACCCGGAAGGCAAAACCACCAGACCTGAGTCTTGACACCGATGCTCTTAGGTTTGATGGCCGTCTGTGCCTGTCACTGAGTGGCTGGGACAGGGGGGACCTGGATCCAGGACCAGCAAGGGGAGAGAGATTTCAGGTTGATTTATTTCCCCTTTCTCTCACTGTACAGAATTTACAGAACATCTACGACGTCCTCAAGTGGGTCTTCACCATTTTCCCTCAGTTCTGCCTGGGGCAGGGACTCATAGAACTCTGTTACAATCAGATCAAGTATGACCTGACCCACAACTTCGGCATCGATTCCTACGTGAGCCCCTTTGAGATGAACTTCCTGGGCTGGATCTTTGTCCAGCTGGCCTCGCAAGGCACGGTGCTTCTCCTCCTGAGGATTGTGCTGCACTGGGACCTTCTGCAGCGGCCACGGTATGTCCTGCGGGGCTCGGCCTGGGAGGGCACCAGCTGCTCCACAAAGAGCGAGAGAAAGCTCCATCCCAGCGAGCACAAGACAACAAATGTGTCCGATCTGTGCGATACGCCCTGCTGATGAGTGATGATTTTGATTCTATGTTGCTTTTTCTTCTCTTTCCTTTCTTGTTTTCTTTTTTCATTGACGTGAGTCACCCACTCTGGGAAGGAGAATATCAAAAAAGATGAAGTGCCAACCTGTGATATAATTGTTCGAATTATTAATTTTCCCCTGTGGTTAAATTCCCTCTTAACTTTGATTGTAACGTCTAGGGCAAGTTTAGCTGATACCATAACAAAGTTAATTAATTAATTATTTTATTTTTTGAAGATTTTAGTTATTTATCTGAGAGAGAGAGAGAGCATGAGCAGAATGAGGTGCAGGGAGAGAAGCAGCCTCCCCCGCTAAGCAGGGAGCCCGACGTGGGACTTGATCCCAAGACTCGGGGATCATGACCTGAGCTGAAGGCCTATGCTTAACAGACAGAGCCACCCAGGCACCCCTCACATAATTTATTTTTATGGCTAAATGACTTAAACTTGTAACATCAGGAATGGACAGAAGGTCAGCACTGATAAGAACTTGCCCTTTGCCAGATCTTGCCTGTTGTCATTAATGCTGCGTTCTTTTTGTTCAGTGATGAACTTCAAGTAGCACAGGGAGATATATATATATATATATATATATATAATTAGTTAATACTAACATTTATATATATCCTACATATAAATATGTAATTGCATATAACATATATATATTATTTATGTTTATATTAATTTGTATATATTTGTAGATCCATAATGTGGCCCATCTACACACATGCACACGCACACACACACACACACACACACACACATCTCTGTTATTCTAAGTGAGATTTAAGGCGACTTTGTGCAGGTGTCTCGAGCATTGTCAGGTAACACAGGACACAGGACAGACACACAGGGAGGAAATGTGTTTAGCTGTGTCCCCTCACAGTGTGTGTGTCTTCCTGTGACCCACCAGGCCCCCATCCGTTGCCTTGGTTCATCTCTGAGACGGACCCTTCATGGAGAAATTACTAATTAGGACCGTGTCATTGGAGAAGCTGTTAAGGACTGTGGACTCATTGTGACTATTTTGTGGCGATGTCTTTATAGAATTGTTCCCGTCTGTCATTTCACGACATGCTTCCTGCACAATTCCTTTCAATCTGCTAGAGCTGTGAGCTGCCTTGACTATCCATCCCAAAGCTCTCTTGAATTGGCCCCGATCCCTCCGGAGTCTGCAGATTTCCAGTGTCTGAGTGAATGTGGAAGAGAATTCTGAGTGCCTTTCAAGCATAATTGGTTCTGTGATCGCCCCTCATGAGTTTAATCTGTTTTAAAACCTAGACCGTAGAATCCCCTTGGGTGGATTTCAGGGTGCCCCGTTCTCGCCAGGACCATCAGAGGACTTCTTTTTCAAAGAGCAAACTCCCTTTCTTACTTGGCAGAGCCTGCATTCCATGGTATTTTAGAATAATGCCTTTGCTCTCCACAGGGAGTCATCAATATTTATTGTTATTTGTCAGTAAGGAGCCTTGCATGGAGGTGGAGGTGATCTGATTGGGACACTTGCCTGCCACCTCCTTACCGGGGATTATACAGCGACCATCTCACTAAGTTAATTTGTTTTTTAAGTCCTCATCTGGGGGTCTCTGGGGGGCTCCATAGGTGAACCGTCTGCCTTCGGCTCAGGTCATGGTCTCGGGGTGCTGGGATCAAGTCCTGCGTTGGGCTCCCTGCTCAGTAGGGAGCCTGCTTCTCCTTCTCCCTCGGTTACTCCCCCTGTTTGTGCTCTTTCTCTCTCTCAAATAAACAGAAAATCTTAAAAAAGAAAAAAAATAAAGTCCACGTCTGACCAGGTCACTAACATTGCCTAAACAAGAAACCCCAAGGTTCTTAGCCAGGCCCCCTTGAGTCGGGCATGTGATGCCCTGTGAAGCTCTCCATGTCCTCCCCCTGGACGCCCCTCGACATTTGCTTCTGGTGATCTGCTCAGTCGGGGCCTCTGGCGGGACTGATCTCCTGCCCTTCAGCACCCACCTCGTGCTGCTCCCCACCTCCCAGGGCCCCCCATGCCTTTTCAGCCTTCCTGTCGTGGCCTTTCTCTCTCTGCTCCAGTGTGGTTTTCTAGTGTTTATGTGTCACTGTGTTGTGCCTGACTGTCCGCTCCATCGCATGTGGACTACTATGCACTGGTATTGAATCGTGCGCGGATGGGAAGACGCCGCCCCCAGCACCTGGGAGAGTTAGTGCCTGTCGCCCCCATTCCTTCACCATCCCCCCCGACCCGGGCCAGCAGTGTCCACGAGCAGGTGCAGCCACCTCCTCCTGGCTGTCTGCTGGGCTTGCTGAAGTCCTGAACTTCGTCCGCTGCTGGCCTTTGGTTGTCTGCTGAGAACCCACGTCTCCATGAGAACCTGAGCCCTGGCTGAACACCAGGCAGCCCAGCGTTTGGGACCGTTTTGCCCTCTTCTTTCCAGTCTGGAGCTGACCTGGCCTTGTGCGCCCGAGGTGCTGGCTGGGTGCGAGCAGACAGGTGGCCCGGGGAGCATTTCTCTGCTGCCGTTGGGCATTTGGACTCTCTGGTGCCCGGGCATCTCCTTCCTCTGTCATGGAGACGCTGGTTTTGTGCTAGTCAGCTGGAAGGGGGTGCGGTGGTGCATTTCGGAGCCCTGTGTGTTGGGCTGTGAGGTGGCCAATGAGAAGTGACCTTGGGCCACTGTCCCGCACCCACCGTAAACAGATACACTTTCCTGCCTCTTCCTTACCCGGAACCCTGAGATCAGAAACTCTGGGGATGAGCCTGAGGGGGGACCCGTAAAGCTTCGCAGGTGCTCCCAGTGAGGACAGGGTCAGAACTGCTGATGGGGGGACCTGGGCATGGGTCTCAGAGACAGGGAGGAAGAAGGGCTCTCCCCTCTTTGAATCAGAAAAGGCCACCGGAAGGCCAGGCCAGCAGAAGGGTCCAGGGACATGCCTGCAGCCAGAAAAGGGGTGAGAAACCACCACGCTGAAAAGCGTGAATTTGGATGACTTTTCACAAACTGAAGGGAGAGCAAACACTGTCACTGCCTTCGTGACCTGTTCCATTAGCCACTCTGGACATAACCACTGTTCTTGTTTTGTTTTGTTTTGTTTTTGTTTTTTTTTAAACACATTAAAAACCATTATGTTTTATTCACTAAATTACATTAAGTTCAGGGGCGCCTGGATGGCTCAGTCAGTTAAGCGGCCAACTCTTGGTTTCGGCTCAGGTTGTGATCTCAGGGTTGTGGGATCGAGCCCCATGTTGGGCTCTGTGCTCAGTGTGACATCTGCTTGAGACTCTCTCCCTCTCCTGCTGCCCCTCCCCCCATATAAATCAATCAATCAATCTTTCTATAAAATATATTAAGTCCACATTTAGCCTAGGTTATACAATTCCAATCCACCGTATAATCCTTGTTCCCAATACAGAATATAAATATTACAGAGCATTCCTGTGCTGATATAATGATCTTGGAGTACTGACTTCTGTAATTTCCCACAGATCTCGTTTTTATCTCCAGTGATGTGTTTCTCATGCTTTTGAATGTTGTGTGAATGGTGTCATGTAATACATACTTCCAAGTAGCTAGCTGTATTCTCTTGTCTCTAGGTTGTGTGTTCAGTAGATTCTGTATTTGTTCAATGATGATTTTAGGCACAGAAAAAGCAACACAGGGAAAGGACCTAGGACTCTGGGGGCCTACAGTGGGTATTTTATTTTAAACGCCCTTTTATCTCAAAATAGTTTAAGACTCATAAGAAATTGCAGAATTCATACAGAGTCCCTGTGCTGCCTTCCCTCAGCTTCTCCCAATGATACCATGATAATTTGGTTGTATATTACACGACAATATCACCTGGGCAAAACCAGGAAGTTGATTTTGGTACAGCCTCAATTCGGTGGTCTCTACCCATTTAATGATTAAATTGTTGGTATGTTACAGTTTAAGGGGGAAATTGAAATTGCTTTAAGGTCAAAATATGCTAGGTTGAAAATCATAGGGAAGATTAAAAAGGGAGCTGCTCAGATTTAGAGCAAATACATTTGAATTGAAAATTAAATTGGTATTCACCAAACACTTATTAAGTCTCTCATGCATGGTGTTGTGCAAAGTACTTGCTCTACAGTCCTCTTACACAATCCAATGTGTTCTATGTAACCATAACGTTTGTTACAGTTAATCTTGTGATACATTGTTTTTCTACCTCGCAGGGAAGTCTAGCAGATTTTATTATTCATAAAATTGAAAAGTACCTCTAGTTGGGCAGCTGTCCACTTCAGTGTCTTTTTAAAATTTATTTTTTATTTTTTATTTTTTTTTAAAGATTTTATTTATTTGACAGAGAGAGAGATCACAAGTAGGCAGAGAGGCAGGCAGAGAGGGGGGGAAGCAGGCTCCCCACCGAGCTGAGAGCTGGATGTGGGACTCGATCCCAGGACCCTGAGATCATGACCTGAGCTGAAGCCAGAGGCTTTAACCCACTGAGCCACCCAAGCGCCCTTTTGCTGTCTTTTCCTTCACATTGGGGGATGAATGTGGTCCCTTGCTTGTTATTTTTTTTTTAAATATATTATTTATTTATTTGCAAGAGAGAGTACAAATCCAAGGGAGAGGGAGAGAGAAAATCTGAAGCAGACCCTGCCCTGAACACAGAGCCTGACACAGGGCTCGAACTCACAACCATGAGAGCATGACCTGAGCTGAAACCAAGTGTCATCTGCTTCACCAGCTGACCCACCCAGGCACCCTGGACTCTCGCTCATGATTAATCACAGTGGCGGAAGTAGGGTGTGTGGACCAGAGCTGATAGTGCGGCTCAAGGCCACGTCTGTTTCAACGAGTCTCTGAACTTTCTGTCTCTCTTGACTCTTCCCCTTCTAGGTCGCGGTTGTGAATTAACTCTGACTTCATCTTTCCAGGGGTCAGTCTGCCATTCAAGGCACAGTCACATCTTCCAAGGACATAGACGTGGAAAAAGAGCAAATAAGAGTGTTGAAAGGAAGAACTAGTGAAGACCTTCTCGTGCTATACAACCTTAGTAAAAGCTACGGAAGCTTCTTCAAGAGGACCACTGCTGTGCGAGATATTAGTTTGGGCATACGGAGAGGAGAGGTAAGGACCTTCTGTTTGTGATCCTCTCTGTTACGAACCCGTGTATCTCTAACTGTGCACCTGCTTGTGGTAGGCTCACAGTGTCTGCGATTAGAGCCAAGAGCTTTCAGATTTCTGACATTTCTGCAAAAATCACTAGACACAGAATCTGAGTAGAGAGTCTATAGACTCCTCCCCTGGGGAAAACTTTGCTGACTGATGGATGGGGGTTTATCGTTTCATAGTTTTAAATATTTCATGCGTTTGAAGAGTTTTAGTCATTGCTTGGGCCATGGGATGACATTTTATTGAGGGAAATATTTTATCAATCCAATTAATTTAGGGAACCTCTTCTAACTCTTACTTGGACATCCACACTTTTTAACTGGCAAGTTAAGCCCATCTAGTAAAACGCTCCCTGGGGAGGAAAAGAGTACTGACACCAAAGCCAGAGTTTAGAATTTTTTTTTTTTTTTTTTTTTTTTTTGTGGATATAGCATCAATTCTTATAGAAGTGTTTAATCAAAACTGATGGAAGCCATGCAAATTGTTCCTGATTTGTGCTTAATTGCCTCAAGAGAAATCAACTCTGAAAGTGATTACCGTTAATTAACCGTGAAAAATAAGAGGTTCCTTGCATTCCTGTTGTGCCCAGCTCCTGAGAACCTCGAGGCAGGTTACCGGCTTATGGGATGGGCAGGCATGCTGCCCTGTGGCAGAGAGCAGGTGTTTCAGAGAGGAGAATTCCGAGGGCAAGAGAAGCTTGGGGACCAATCCAAGTTGATCCAGGAGTATCCTCATGTGCTGTCTGTCCTGTGGTTTGTGGTTGACGAGGACAGTATGCTAAGGAGGGTGTTTTGGTAGCTACTATTGGCCACTCAGCCCAAAGACTAACTCTGCAACCTTCGGCATCATACTGAACTATTTGTTTTACTTCCACTTCAAAAATCATTTTTTTTAGTTTTGCTGCTACCTGTTGGGGTACTTTTAAGCTGAAGAGTAAGAGGAAACCTTGGAATGCTTCATAAAGGAGATGCTCCAGGGATCTGAAATGGAAGGCCGTGATCACGTAGCATGTTAGGTACCCCCATGGTGCTGCCCCAAATCACGTGGGCGGTACTCCTTTGGAGCCGTCTGTCCAGAAATGGCAGCTGGGTCCATGCGTGAGATGGTGGGAGGGATCCCGTTGAGTTTGGGGGGAGCATGGCTATGAAAGCAGGTGGGAGTTCAAGGAAGCACCTTTCATCCAGAGGTCCCAAATAGGGCCCTGTGGTTTCTAGGCAGGGCCGGTGCCAGGAAAGCCAGAATAGGCACTTTCCTGAGATTCAAGGGGCAGGGAAGTCACCTGAGGTCAGTAGACAGAAAGCCAGCTGAGGCCACCAGAAAACAGAGGTCTTGAAGGAAATTTTAAGAACCACACAGACTCAGGCTCTGCCACAGAACCTGTAGCTATGGATGTACTGAGAGATAAAGCCTAGGTCTAGAAAAGATGGCAAGAAAGCCATTTGTCCCATCAGATATAGGACAACATTGACCCACCCCCCCCACCCCCTGCCCAATGCCGTCTTGATGCCGATGTCAGAGTTTAGAACTGACAGTTCTCTTCTTAACTCATGTCAGGAGCAGCCTAGAGTCTGACTTGGGGGTGGGGAGAAGGGGAGGGAGAGCAGGGAGGATATTTTAATGTACTTTATTTATGTTTTGAAGATTTTATTTGCTTATTTATTGGAGAGAGCGAGAGAGCAAATGTGGCGGGGGAGGCAGAGAGAGAGAGAAAATTGTAAGCAGACCCCACACTGAGCATGGAGTCCGATTCAGGGCTCGATCTCACAACCCGAGATCAGGACCTGAGCCAAAACCAAGATTCAGATGTTTAACTGACTGAGCCCCTAACCACGCCCCCGGATGTACTTTAATTTATGCAGCAGCATCAAGGGGATAATGAGTACAATGAAGTGAGTTTCAAAAACTCGTCCTCCACACAGGGACACAGTCAGGACCTTGTTGGAACGGCCCCTCAGCAGACGGTTAATCTCAGCACTATCCTGGGGGTGGGGACTCACCCGTCACCCTCTGCAGTACTCCTTACACAGATTCACTCTTCCTGGGCGATTGTCGATACGGTCACCTTGCTCAGACCCCACGGTCTTCTGCAGAGTGCTTTGCACAGTCGTGTGCATTTAAAGGTCTTTGAGTAGCAGAAGCCGGAAAAGTTGGCTCCGAGCCGTCTGGAAGTCAAGGCTGTCTGTGGTGACTTAGCTGTTCCTCATCTGCGTCTTCTCTCCATGTAGTGCTTTGGGCTCCTGGGGCCCAACGGGGCCGGGAAGAGCACCACATTCAAGATGCTGAACGGGGACGCTCCTCCGACCTCAGGACGTGCCGTTGCCAGGACTCCCACAGGGTAAATGCAGATGCGGTCATTCTTGCTGCCTGGGGACAGCCCTCGTCCCCTCAGTCCTGTGCCCGGAGTCTGAGACACACTTCCCTCAAGATTTACCCTCCAGTTAGCTGCCAGGAGCCTCTCCTCAGATAGAGAGGAACTTCCGGGGCCAATGAGATAAGCTGCCCACATCTGGCCACGGGGTCAAGGACATGTCTGCAGAAAGCAGGCAGGGCTGACCTCTTTGGTGGCCCCCCATGGGCTTGAGGTGTCTGGCTGCTGATGTGGGTGAGCGGGAAATGGCCAGAGGGTGGCCCTTCTTGCTTCACTGACAGATCCAGCTTCAAACACCCCCACCTATGGGACAGTGGCCCCAGGGGGCGACATCGATTCTCTCGTTCACCACCCAGACCCCTCTTTCAGGTGGTTGACAGCTTTGGGTCAGAGTGAGTAGCCACATGAGAACCCAGATGGTGGCATCTGGAGGAGCAGGGGTAACACGTATTTTCCTTGCTGCAAAGACCATGCAAGATGCTGGGTGTCATCATGCCACAGGCTGCCCGAGGCCACTGGGTCCCGTGGGGGCTCTATGGGCAACCCCACAGAGACAGTTTTACCTCCAAGCATCCTCTGATCCCTTCTGAACAGCACTGTGACTTGGGGATCGTCCCCAGGGGTGTGGGCACCATCAGGTGTGATCATCCAGTCGGATAAAAGGCCCACTTCTCTGTCTCTGCCTGGTCTGGACCATTAGAGGTTCTCGTCTCTCCTAAGAAGGAGGCTCCTGGTTCTAACCCTCTCTGGAGGCAGGATGGGCTGCTTGCTTCTTGCTCTGAACTTGCCCGAGGAGCCAACTTGCCCTGATCGCACTAAAATCTCCACTTGCAAGCTTAGGGCTCTTTCCGGACGAGCCCTCCATGTGCCGTCACATGCGTCCCAATACAAACGTTTTCATGGCCCCATCTCCGCACACTTTTTCCTTTCCATACCAATTACAAGGCCCCTGGTATATATCTTTCTTTTCTACTGCAGCAAATTGATTGCTAATTGACAATGATGATAATGGATTTCACACGTCTGTTGCTCAACTTATATAAGGAAAACCACATCCTTGGTTGGTCCTTCTATAAGCAGCTCCTGTCTGAGCACCCTGGTTGATTTCACAGCCTGTCTGCTGGGGTCGCAGAGTCTCTCCTAAGCATGCTTGGAAATCATGCACCTGAGATTTGTATATACGGGTTCAAATAGAATAATTGAAAAAAAGGTGTTCAAAAATATGAAAATCACCCATGAATTGGCTAATTCTTTGCATCGACAAATACTTTCTGTCCTATGATGTGCCTGGCACTGGGAGGTTTTCTTGGACTCCTAAAGCTCAGTGTTAACGTTTACATGTCTCCTGCTAGTGTAATTTAGACATGCATTCATCTCTGTGTGTATGTATCTATTTTTGGGGAAAGAGTTTATTTATTTGAGAGAGAGAGAGTGCAAGCAGAGGGAGCAGCAGAGAGAGAAGCAGACTCTCCACTGAGCAAGGAGCCTGACGCAGAACTCGATCCCAGAACCCCAGGCTCATGACATGAGCCGAAGGCTGATGCTTAACCGACTGAGCCATGCAGGCGCCCCTATATCTAATTTTATCTAATATCTCTATGGGAGGTATGGGTGGTTAAATGTATTTCTGTGGAGAGATTCACATGTTAAAATCAGACAAGCATATAAAGATCATTATTTGGTATTCTTCCTTTACCTTATTCCATAAGCATCTCCCAATCCCCTTCAATAATACTTATTGTTTTTATTTTTTACAGATCGGGTGGGCATGAAATCTCATTGTTAAATTAGTTTGCACTTCCTTGATTATTCATGAACGCGAGTGTTTTTCCCACAGTTATTTGTTTGGTAGGTTTCTTTCCTGCCAATTGCCTGTCATGCCCTTTGCCCTTTTCTGTATAAGGTTGTCTGTCTTTTTGTTACGCATTAATGTAAGAGTTTTTCATCCATTCAACCAGAAACTAATCTTTTTTTAATTTTCATTTTTATTATTTTTAAAATTTTTATTTTTAAAATTTCATTTGCATCCAAGTTAGTTAACATGCAGTGTAGTATTGGTTTCAGGAGTAGAATTTAGGGATTCATCGCTTACATGCAACACCCCGTGCTCATCCCAACAGGTGCCTCCTTAACGCCCACCCCCAGGTCTCCCCTCCCTCCAGCAACCCTCAGTTTGTTCTCTGTGCTTAAGAGTGTCTTATGGGCTGCCTCCCTCTGTTTTCATCTTAGTTTAGTTTTCCTCCCCTTCGCCTATGTTCAGTGTTTTGTCTCTTAACTTCCCCATATGAGTGAAATGATATTTGACTTTCTCTGATTTGTTTCACTTCACATATTACCACCTAGTTCTATCCTTGTCATTGCAAGTGGCAAGATTTCATTCTTTTTGATGGCTGAGCCACATTTCACTGTGTGTGTGTGTGTGTGTGTGTGTGTACATCACACATCTACACCTTGTGCATATACACACACCCCATCTTTATCCATTCATCACTTGATAGGCATAGTTTGGCTGTTGTGGACATTGCTGCTGTAAACATTAGGGTGCCTGTGCCCCTTCAGATCAGTATTTCTGTATCCTTTGGGTAAATACCTCGTAGTGCAATTGCTGGATGGTAGGGTAGCTCTGTTTGAAACTTTTTAAGGAGCATCCTGACTGTTTTCCGGAGTGGCTGCACCAGCTGGCATGCCCACCAACTGGAAACTAGTCTTTTGCATGTTTTAGGGATTATTTCTTTGGTACCTTGAATTTTAACTTTGTTTTCTAAGTTTGTATGTGTAGATGTTTGCAGTTTTGACGAAGCCAATTTAATCGTTCTTTTTTTTCCTTTGTATTTCTTATTTGAATCTTAAGAAATTCTTCTCTTTCTGAGGTCAAAAACCTTAACATTGTCTTTAATTAATAGGGAGTTTATAGTTAGAGACACTGTGTGGTAGAAATAGAATTTGATGTTTTTTAAAATATGTGTTTATTTGTTTTGTTATTTTTAGAGAGAGTGAGAGAGAGAGTGGGGGGTGGGGAGGAGCAGAAGGAGAGAGAGAATCCCAAGCAGACTCCATGCTATGCCCAGCACTGAGCCCCCCGTGGGGCTCAATCCCACAACCCTGAGATCAGGACCGGAGCTGAAATCAGGAGTCTAAGTTCCGCTGACGGACACACCCAGACGCCCCTTGATGTTTTTTTCTGTTCTGAGTTCTCGTTGCTTAATGCCACTTCCTCACCAAGGTGTCTTTGTGTCCATCAAAAAGTGCTTCTGTAATAGCAAGTCCTCGGACAGGCTGGGCTCTCGGCCCTGGTTTCTTTTGCTTCATGTTTCCTTCCAGGTGGCTACATTGCCTGCCTGTCTCCCGGGTTCTTGATTTTCAGTATTGTTTGAACTCTTCTGGACCTTTATAATATATTATTTTTTGGATACTTTTACCACTCTCTATAAAAATGTCACAATATTTACATCTTGCTTGGGATTGCAACACATTTTTATACTATAATTTGAGGAAATTGAGGTCTTGATGAAATTCTTTTTGCTTTTTCCATGACTGTGGTATGTATGTACATTTATTTGGGTCATTTAAAAAATAGCATTTATATATATTTTAAAATATTTTATGTATTTATTTGTTTGAATTTATTTGGGGGGGGAGCATGAGTGGGGAGGGGCAGAGGAGGAGGGAGAAGCAGGCTTCCTACTGAGCAGGGAGCCTGATGTGGGGCTCAATCCCAGGACCCTGAGATCATGACCTGAGCCGAAGGCAGATGCTTCACCAACTGAGACATCTAGGTGTCCCTAAAAAATATCATTTAATTACATTTTGGACTTTTCTTTATAAATTCCTTGCATATCTCTTTTAGATTTATCCATCCAGATGAATTTGTCTCCCATCAGGAAGCATTTAATCTCGTTTGTTTGTTTTAATTTTTTCTTCGATTTTCTCATGGCTTGGGACTCGGCTAGCTGACGTCACAAGGGAATGTGTTTGTGTGTTTGGCGTTTGCTCTCTCTTTTCCTGTGTGACACCTTCTGTCAGCTGGGTGGTTCCTTCTCGTGATTCTCTGACTCTCCCATGCAGAGCCAGGTCTTGTGTTGAAGACGTTAGGGTCCCAGCTTGCAGCCATAGGGAAACTATCCCATTTTTAGTCACGGCACGGCTTCGCCCGGGTGCTGACCTGCTGAGTGGCCTGGAGGATGAGCAGCCTTCTTGTACCCCAAGTTCCCAGCCGGCTTCTCTCGGCCTCTTTCAGGAGGGGTGGGGCTGTGCTGTAGACCCAGTTACCATGCTGGACCTGCTTCTGGTCCCTCGTCATCACACAGAGGTGTGTTCAGTCCCCGTTACGTCCCCATTATGAGTGTGTTCAGCCTTGCAGGGTCCAGACCTCCAGATGCTTTATGTAACTCAGAGCCAAAGCCCAGCAGGCAGTGGCTTGAGATCCTGGTCTCCCTTCCTCCTTTTTTCTGATGCCCGGAGATGTTCAAGTGTGTTTTTCTTTTCTAGACACTAATTACACAACATGAACAAAGCAAATAAAATCTAGTCATCACTTTCTGCATGTACAGAAAGACATGTAAAGCATTGTGCCCACAATTTCCACTGAGATTTTAATTGATTTTACGTTGCATTTATAGATTAATTTGGAAAACACTGAGATTTTTATTCTGTCTTCTCTTCTGCGAACCTTGCACTATCCAAGAACTCTCAAAGTACTCTGAAATGGTAGTATATCTATTGTTCACTTGAGTAGTAGTAGTTCTGTTTTACTAAATGTGGTGGTTTGAAACCCATGTGCATATTATGTGTCTTGTTAGTATTATTCTGCAATTTTATTTAAAGTTCTTCAAGGCAAATATTAAATTTATCATTTTAACACTCATACAGATGAACCTGTTGTAGTTCTTTTTCTTTTGACATATTTATGTCATTAAGGAAAGATTTTGGATTACTGAGCTCTTCCTATCTTTGTGCAGTAAACTCAA